GTTTTACAACAAAAGGTAATTGCACTTAATTTGTCTGACACATTACTGCAGCTAAGCTAATGTCAAAAAACATCTGATTTCCTCCACCCTCAGCAATGGTTTATTACACATCCTTGTCTGGCATGAAATAATTCTGTAAAAAATAAACCAAGCATGAATCTTATTTGGGTTACAGAAAGGTCTGAATCGTTTATAACTGAATTAATTGCTAGAAAGGCTTATGAGCAGCCAATTAGTAATATTTGTATTTGGATCTGCCAGTTGGCCCAGAACTGAAAATTAATACTAGTTTCAACATAAAGACTGTAGTGTTCACAGATAAAAAACATTCAATAAAAAAATCAAGAATATACTTGAGAATTACGGTCTTGAATGGAACATGCCTGATAACTGGCCAGATAATTCTATTAGCCAAAACTGCCTAAGATCTTTCCCAACTGCTGATTCAAAAACTGATTCTGCATTCCTCATACAACATAGTAAAGTCTTGGTGCCACACCTGAAACCTGTATAGATGCTAGCGAACTGTCACTTGTGTTCTTTAGACTTCCACATGACTTTGAGGACTTAATTTTCCCCACTGATGTCCTGCAGAAGCATCCTTTCAAAGACTGTTAGGGAAAACACACATGTTCTGTCATCACTGCTTACAAGATGGAAACATGGGCTAGGATGTGGCTATACCACAGATAATGGCTTCCAGGGGGACAATAACACTCTTCAGTTACTCTTTACTTCACGTCCTCTTCTCAAGCTGAATGTAGCCCTGCAGAATGGGGCACCAGAGAAAACTGCAATTTCTGGAAAAGAACTGTATTTTTGAGCTTCCTTATGATTGAGCAAAGAGTCTGTGAACCTCGTTTCCTTTGGCTTGTCATCTTCCCATCACCCAAGTCTGACAAGACTCAGCCCAAAATTAAATATGAGCAGAGAAATAAATAGATGGAGAAGCACAGAAAAGCAGCTACCACAAAATAAAAGAGGAAGGATAAATACTGACAAAGCATTCACATCTCTTAAGTTATTCTGTAGCTCCTGATCAGAATATGTATGTTGTGAGTGATGGCAATTTCAAAATTTTTCACTTAATGGAAAAGTAAATAATCGTATAACATGTCAAGGCACAATTCTGGGTGTCCTCAGGCACTTAAGCCCCTGGACTGTGTTTTTCCTCTTTCTTGAATGATCTTTAACAGTGAACTGTTTTTTAATGTATTCTGTGTTCTTTACTACATACTGTGCTCTCTTTTAGGTTACAAACTTGAGAAGTTGTATAGCCAAAGGGGTTTTTCAGAAATTCAAAGTAACATATTTTGCCCATGAAGAATGCATTCACACTTTCTTGAAGTAAATTACAACAAAATCCTATATAATTAGGGCATAAACTTTAATGTATTAGTACCAGTAAGGAATGCTAGAAAAGGAAGACAGTGGAACACTCTGTAATGCTTAGAGGGGTATTTGAAAGCTTTTAAGTTAAGCATCATTTAAAACAGATTGTAATTAAGGATTTTTCTTTTTTTTAATTACATATTAAGGTCTCTAAAAGCATAACTTCCATAAATAGTCAAGAATAAACTACATTCAGACCTACATATAAGCACATTTCTTGGCACAGACAAATGAAAACTGTGATTGCTGACATCTCTTTGAAGGAAGATTTTCCTTTTTTTTTTTGTTCATCCCAGCCCTTGTTTTATTTATATGGCTCTGCACACTTTTTATTTTTAATTATCCTAAGGAAAAGAAGGGGTGGAGAGAAAGAGATCTTTGTTTTCCAACTGAGACAGTGAAATACATTCCAAAGCTGCTTTTGCTTTTAATTTACAGAAGCCCTTATGTCTAATCTACTAAGCCAACAAATAATCTGTTTGCCAGGTTTTACATGACAGTCATGAAAAGTGCATACAATTGCTGACTTAATTCTTTTTTAAGATATGCATTCGTTCTCTGCCACAGACTTGAAAAAGATTCTTTTGTAGAACTTTGCACAATTAATTTATTTTTAACTATGCATTTTGTTTCCCAGGAGTTACTTCTTTATTACGCAGTTGCTTGATATCTTTGGCTCTCTTTACTAACAATAAAAGGAGCGTGTGCCTATCTGAAAGATAATATAGCTAGGTCTGTACCCTTCCCCAACAAAAGCAGCTGTTTAAAAGCAAAAAGAAACGTACTGAGAAATGTGTTCCCCTCAAAAAAAGGTACAGAGCAGATGTTTCCATACACAGGGAAAATTGCAGTTTTCATCCTTCTATCCTTTCAGAATAACAGTATAGCCTACTCTTCCTAGTACTTAAGGTGAATTTCAATAATTAAATACTTAACATATACCCTGAGATCCATCAAGAAATTCCATGAGATTATGGGGGGAAAAGTGGAGAAAGCGGGCAGCAAAACAAAAATACAGTGTCTCTACATTGTTGTAAATATCTTCTCAGAAATTCGTGTATGCAGGCAAGGCAGAAACACTGTTTTCCAGGCAGATTTTTGGATGGTATGATCTATTGCAAGGAAATGTCTTCTGGTGCAGAGGAGTACACAACTGCATTTTATTTACTTCCCTCCTCTCAATTCTGGTACTCTTCCACTAGTGCACTATAAATCTAAGAAAGCAGTATCAATGAACTTCAAGGACAGAAAGATCAGTACCTGCCAGCTTCTCCAAAATTGAGTTTTGCCAGGATTTTCACAGGTGATGCCAGGGTTCAGAATGCATTGTGTTCCTCTGCAGATGCTAATTTATCATTTGCCCCTCTCTTTCTTTTAGAGGATATAGGGCTTGAACAACTGTGAAGCTAATAACATAACTGGTACATTTCTTGTCATTAAAATGGCCCATTTATTGTTGTCTTAAGGGTGTTCAAACTGTACTTACAAGTGGAACTTACCTTGGAGAGAAAAGGTAACAGGATGAAAATGTTCCAGGTAAAAAAAATTCTGCTCCAGATGTGCATCTTACTTTCCATAGAGTTTCTCCATCCACAGGTACTAACCAATCTTTTCCACTTCATGCACATTCCCAGAGCATTGTGCTGAATGCTGTGAAGATCCTGGCTATATGACTTTAGCCTGACAGAAGCAAAGAAAACAAACAAAAAAAGGCAAAGAGACTGCAAATAAACAACCTTTTCAATATGCTAGACATGCAAACAAGAATTTGAGGAAAGTGAGGAGTATTGCTAACATTTTAATTAAACTCCTGACCAATTTGGTGGCCTTCTATGATGGGGCTACAGAACTGATGGACAGCGGTAGAGCAGTTGATGTCATCTACCTGGACTTGTTTAAAGCGTTCGACACTGTCCCACATGACATTCTTGACTCTAAATTGGAGAGACATCAATTTGATGAATGGACCACTCGGTGGATAAAGAACTGGCTGGAGGGCCGCACACAAAGAGTTGTGGTCAATGGCTCAATATCCGGCTGGAGACCAGTAACGAGTGGTGTCCCTCAGGGATTGGTGTTGGGACCGGTCTTCTTTAACTTCTTCGTTGCTGACATGGACAGTGGGATTGAGTGCGCCCTCAGCAAGTTTGCCGATGACACCAAGCTGTGTGGTTCGGTTGATATGCTGGAGGGAAGGAATGCCATCCAGAGGGACCTTGACACACTTGTGAGGTGGGCTGATAACAACCTCATGAAGTTTAACCATGCCAAGTGCAAGGTCCTACACCTGGGTCAGAGCAATCCCAGGCACAGCTACAGGCTTGGCAGAGAAGAGATTCAGAGCAACCCTGCAGAGATGGACTTGGGGGTGCTGGTCGATGAGAAAATGAACATGAGCCAGCTTCAGTGTGCGCTTGCAGCCCAGAAAGCCAACCGTATCCTGGACTGCATCAAAAGGAGTTTGATCAGCAGGTAGAAGGAGGTGATCCTGCCCCTTTATTCTGCTCTCGTGAAACCTCACTTGGAGTATTGTGTGCAGTTCTGGTGTCCTCAACATAAAAAGGACATGGATCTGTTGGAACAAGTCCAGAGGAGGGCCACAAGAATGATCAGGGGACTGGAGCACCTCCCATATGAAGATCGGCTGAGAAAGTTGGGGCTGTTCAGCCTGGAGAAGAGAAGGCTGCATGGAGACCTCATAGCAGCCTTCCAGTATCTGAAGGGGGCCTATAGGGATGCTGGGGAGGGACTGTTCATTAGGGACTGTAGTGATAGGACAAAGGGTAATGGGTTCAAACTTAAACAGGGGAAGTTTAGATCGAATATAAGGAGGAAATTCTTTCCTGTGAGGCTGGTGAGGCACTGGAATAGGTTGCCCAGGGAGTTTGTGAATGCTCCTTCCCTGGCAGTGTTGAAGGCCAGGTTGGACAAGGCCTTGGGTGACATGGCTTAGAGCGAGGTGTCCCTGCCCATGGCAAGGGGGTTGTAACTTTATGATCTTAAGGTCCTTTCCAACCCTAACTATTCTAGTCTAGTCTAGTCTATTTTATTGTATTCTATTCTATCTTGTTTGTAATGTATATATGAAGGATGTTCATAGTCCCAGCCTTTGGGAGGTAGCCCCTAACTTACATAAAGTAGAATAAAAGTATCTGTTGCCTACCAGCTGTAGGGAAAAGGCTTCAGCCACTGCTTTTACTGCAGAATTATGAATGTAGCCAAATAGAGCATTACTCAGTTGAAAAACAAATAAAGTATTGAGTTATTTGTACAAGGCAGTTGTTGATTTTAGATACATTGCAGAGTGAGCAGATGAAAAGCTCACCATGTAATTTTACTGCTATGAATTCTCATTTAATTCAAGGGGCTTATTTTACCGAATACTTTCCTTCTATTTTATTTTTGTTGAGTTCTTTATTACTGTACAAGTCAACCCACCCTCATGCTAGCCAGAAAATAAAGAGGCATTCTGTGCTAGTGAGAGTCAGAATTTATAATTTTTTTAAGCCATCATAACAGATGTAATTTTTCAAGTTTTGTTAATGAATTTCCTGAGGAAAAAAGCAACCAACAATCCAGAATCAGATTTTTTCTTAATTTGTCTATTTACATTATGTTCACATATCTTTTATACTCAAAGAGATTTAGAATCTGTATTCACTGGGTCCTTCTTGCAAAACTGTCAGTGACCCTTCATGAAGTACTCCTTTCTCCACTTGTCAAGTACCTTCAACTCTCTTGGATGAAATAAGGAGATGCAAATTCTTTCTCAGACCCATATATAACAATATATATGGAGGCAAAACCCTATTCAAAGCAGTTTGCATGGAGTCAGAACATGAGCTCACACCCTCTTTGTCCTGTATCATTTACCTGCACAGTACAGCAGCCTCAAACAATGTTGATGGATCTGGCATAAGGAGAATGAAAAAGTTTCTTAATGAGGGCAAACTGTGGCACAGGCAGTCAAGCTATAGGATTAGATGTGAACAACTCAAATACATGGCATTGCCACCATTCCCCGTAAGTACTATAACTGAGACAGCTTGCATTGTCTTGCATTTCCCCTCCATTGCGTCCTTCAGCCAATGTAGTGATGTAGTGTAGTAAAATTAGATGGAATGATTGCAAGAAATTGGTTTGCAGGAGGCTGGGGAAAAAAGAATAATTTTTTTTCTATCACATGCCACCATAACTTTGGCAGCAGCTCCCAGGCCACACCTACATGCAAAGGCAGTTTAAGAAAGTAATGCAGGCACCCTCTCCATGCTCCTGTTCAGGCTGCTGTGCCTTTCATTTCATGCCTTTACAAACCTCCTGAGGCACATGTTCTCCAAAGCGAGAACTACTCAAATATAGCTTACGTTACCCCACAGAACATTATAAAGAGGCAAAAAAAAATTGTCAAGCAAGGTGACAAGATTTACACCAAAAATTATTTTGCAAACTCTTTGAGATGCTGTCACAACAAACCCAGAGGAAGAATTGTACTTTCTCAGCAGCCTATATTGGAGCAGGTGGCGGAAGAGCAGAAAGGGAAAAGGAAGACTCTCACATGTGCTTGGGGTGCTTTTCAGATCCTCAGCTTTGTCTGTACTTAGGCTGCTAGATGATTTATGATCACTAGTCTCTACTGCCATTGCAACTGTTCATTTCAATTCTGCATGTTCCTTGATGGGTTGGCTACATTTTCACAGATGCTATCATCACATCTTAACTGTAATAATCATCTGTTTGAGTTGTGCTGTTACTGTGCTAAGGCTACCAGCCAGCTCTTCTGTGCTGAAATGTCCAGTGCTGGTGTATAGTGCAACTGCCTGATAGCAAGCCTAGAAACTCCTTGTTAAAATGTTTCTTAACTTAGCACTTCTTTGTAGGGAGTGATTATTTCCGTGACCTGATGAGAGAAAATATGATGGAAAGAATGAGTGCCTAACAAAGCAAATAAGGGTATGGACAGATGAGTGCAAACTACAGTTAGCACAGCTTAACAAATTCCCACTTAGTAGAGAAACTGTTAAGGGACCACACCATAATTCTGATTCACTCTTATTACAAAGGAAAGTAGATTAGATTAAACCAATTTTTAGTTGAAATCATGACATTCTAATATGTAATACCTCTTGGAATTATTGGCTAGAAGCATGCACATGGGTAATTAGGAACAACTCCTTAAGTTATGAAAGCCCAATTACTCACCTCTCCCTGTTCTCTAAAGTTCTATCTGTTGCAAACCAGTGCTTGGACTACAATTTTGGTCCTAAAAAGCACTCACAGTTCTCACGTGTGCTTTACACAAATAAACAGAAATATAAAATAAAATTTTCAGCCATATGTTGTCATCCACAGCAGTCAGTAGGACCAGATCAACAGCAGTGCTTCTGCTCACAGGACGAGACCAAGGGGAATATACCTGCATCTATGCTCAGGCCTATTACAGACCCATTTGTCTCAGGGGACTTACACGAGCACAGTGTAGCTTCCTTCCTCCTTGTGCACCAAATTTCCTTTTCAAAAGGAATCCAGGTGCACAGGGGGACTGTGCATCACATTGCATTCTGACTCCCAGTTAAGCTGGGGATGTCTGTATTCTGGAGCACAAACACAGCCAGCAGTATCTTGAAAAAGACCAGCCAATATATTCAAGGCTTTGAGGTTTATTAACAGGAGATACTGCCAGCTCAGGCTGAAAATTAGCACATTCAGCAGTGACTTACAGGTTCAGGAAATGGTGGATTACATAAATTCTGTTGCTTGATTTTACTATTACCTATTTCACTTTGAGATCCCAAACAATGATTTAAGCAAACACACACACACACACACCCCCCCCCCCCGCACTGTATTTTATTTCCACAGCTCACTATGTTTAAATGAAACCAGTCTCCTCCCCCAGGTATGCACAAATGTCCTCAAAGTTATTTTACAGTAAGAAACTGGATACAACAGCCTTAAGCTTAAGGAGGAGTTGTAATCAGGGAGGACAGTCTTGTTCAGATAGCATCTACCACTTTAGCACATCAAGTAAAAAAACAAAGTTGTCTGTAGAGTGCAAGCTTTCTGTTAAGAAGTTTTTCTGCCTGATACTAGGAATTCAGTGCATACACCTCCCCTCAAACAAGTCATGAGAACATAGCTTGACTCCCCTTAACTTCTCCTTCACTGACATAGATGCTCCTGCTAAGCTGTGGTAATACTGTATCACGTGAGGCAGCACATGAGTAGAGAAAGGAAAGGGATTACTGCACTGATACGAAGCTTTTCATTAGAAGAAACCCACAGGAATATATGCAAGAGGTTCCCTAATCCCTGCACCCAGATGCAGACTAAAGCCTATCAGGCATGAATACTTCTGTGTTTACTGGAGGACAATCAGAAAAGAACCGAATTTGTAAAATTAGACCAGAAAAGACAAGGCTACCTTAGGAACCAGTGACAACGTATATCAGCTAAACAGAACATTTACCTTTTTTTTTTTTTTTTTAAACACCCTTTGTTCACTGAGGGTGCTCTTTATTTCCATGGCATTTTTACTAGCTCAGATCAGAGTTTAACCAACTGATCATGCTTTTATTGTTTCTGAAAAACAGATGTTATTGTTTAGTGGCTTTTTTAGAAATATATTAACATACATACTTGTGTAGCAGTATGTTTCTTCATAGCAGTATTTTAAAATATTACAGTAGCTTGAAATCCTGTTTAAATCACAAAATGTATAGCATGTGGACAGTGGCAGGATGAACTCCTCTATGCTGCCATTACCTGCTTTTTTATCTTACATGTTTGCAAATGCCAGTTTCTCCACTGAAAGCTGTAACACAAGTGCCAGTTCTGAGAAGCTCATGGTTCTTCCCAAACTGTTAAATGTATGTATTCACCAGCACAAAGTTACTGAGGATCTTATTGCCCTATGTGCAAATTCATCCTGGCTGAGTCAAAGGATTTTCCCATCTTTCTTGACTTGGACTGAAGGTACTGAATTCTGAATATGAAGAAATAGCTATGGTTATTACACTGAATAACATTAAAGAGCCTACAAGGTAAGCAAATGAAGCAGGTATTATAGAACGTATCAGAAAGCAAACAATATAAGCTAAACATTATAAGGTGATAATTGGTCAGTGTCTCACAAGTATGTTTCTCATTTTAAAAATCAGAATTGCTGCCTTTTTAATCTTATGAAAGTTTTAGGGGCATGATGCTCTCTGACCCTTAATGGGAAGCCAATTCTTTTTTTAGCTCAAAGAAGAATGGCACTGCTATGCAACCACTTCGTGGCCCATGTGACAAGATCTAAGCAAGGCACAGAGAAATCAGTCTTCCTGCTTTTAAACACTACTCTCATTAAGAAAAGCATCTGGAGCTAGTCTGGTTATTAAATACACTTGTAGGGAGATCACATTGCCTACGTGGCACTAAGTAAGTAGTTCTGTATCATACTTTAGAGCTGTCAAAAAACAATAACAAAAAAAAACAACCACCCCCCCAAAAACAAACAACATACCCCCCAAAACCAAACCAAAACAAACAAAACCAAACAGAAAACCAACCACCAACAACAAAAAAAAACCAAAACAACCACCCAACCCCCCCCCCCACCAACAAACCAAACACTCAACCCCCCCAAAACCACAAATAAGCCTCAGTTACCAGCTACCACTTTAACAGTGGCACCATTACAACTGCTTAGTAAACTAGTTTACTGAAAATGTCCGGCTTAAAGTAGCTGGGTTGAAATATGGAGGTGGTACACTTGCTTGCTTGTTTCCTCAACGGAGGACAGTTTACCAATCCAGTTTACAGTGTGGTTGCACAGAGATACATAGACACAAGTAAGACAGAAGATAACAGCAATACCAGGGCATCTTTTGATACTGTAGCAAGCCCATCAAGGAACTACACTTTCTACGTACCCCAAGGTATGGGGTTAAGACCTGTGACAGCAGTTTGAATACTTAGAGAAACAGAACATTGCATTTTTATAAAATCTTAAATTTACTTAGCACTTATAACACTTTACACATTACATCAAAATACCCAGGATATGACACAGGAGCCCATGTGCTAACTTGATTAACTAATAGCAGGACACTACTCTACTTAATTAATGCATCCTCTGAAGCGTAGATAGGAAAACAGAACACAGAGGAATGAAGTTTCTTGAAAACAGAAATAGAGCAAATGACAAAATATTCTTGCAGGAATATCCAGGTCCCTAGTGAGTAAAAAGGTGAAGCCCTGTATTATTCTTTAAGAAAGTGAATTTACAAGCCACATACCTTGAGGATCTATTTTTTTAATGGCTTTTAACTGCTCCCCCCACCACAACTCCAAGCCCCTTAGCACTACATAACCAAACTCAGATTTTCTTTTAGCCTTTTAACACTCCTGCTCTATTATTGTAAAGGTCATGTCCCCAAAGTAGGACCCTTCTCCTGTCCTTTCCTAACTCTGACTACTCCATCAATTCAGCACCTTTTCCTCTACCTCCCAACCCACCTGAGTATATGCAACATATACAAGATAGCTTATTCCTTTTTCAGGACAGCCAGTGTAAGGTAGTCTGATACAAGAAGGCTACCCAGGCTAGTTTTCCAAAACTCCAGGCACTCACTTTGACTGCTAATGTCAAAGACAAAGCTTGTGTATTAATGAAACTAGAAACTACTGCCTTGTCTCACATGGTGAAATCCTGCTCTGCTGGGTTTGGGAATGAAGATTAAAGACTGTGTGGTCAGAACTGAAAGGTACAAAAAACAAACACCTTCACACCAAGTAGTTACTTTTTTCTGGCCTCGACTACTAACTCAAGGAGCTGTTTCCAAGCTCACCTTAGTGATGACACACTGAATTTCATGGCTGGGCAAAGAGATATTATTCAGCCCCTCACTTGCTCCTCCATCACATATTCAAGAAACAGAACCCGAATAGCAACTAAAGGCTTGGTATATTCAGTCGAGATTAAAGGCTGCATGTTCAAATAGGCACTAACTTGGGTGAGTTGGTTGAATTCTCCCTACAGTTGTTTTATTCTGGGAACCCCACAATGGAGAAAAGAATTCTTTTGATATTCACATTTCAAAGAGCACACTTTTGTGAATGTTTTCAGTAGAAGATGATAGCACTACTGATTTATATAGACTGTGTACACATGCATATGCACAAACATACATGCACAGCATATACATAAGTATATGTAGACCTGTCTGTAACAAAGAAGGAGATCCTTTCATTTTGCCTTTTTTGCTTCTCGCTCCAGGAATCTATCCTTGATCTTGACAGAACTGATAGTTTATAATGAATACTTTTCCAGCTTTCATGACTGGCATCACAGAAACACCTGGGACCAAGATTTGTTCACTGCGGGTTTGTTTATTTATTTTTTAGACATAGTTACTGTGCTGTTTGCCTCTAATAAACATTTTTATTGTGTTTAAATATTTTATTGGTTCAGGCAAAAACAAAGCAAAAGAAAACAAACAAGTGAACAAGAAGGTCTGCTGTGCTTCTACAAGTGGAAAGAGACCCTGAAAGGATAAACTGGGCCAAAGTCACAATACATGCCACTGACTGCACTGCAGACAGTCACACAACTACACATGACATAGAGTATCGCCTCATTTTCCCTTTAGTTACCTACATAGAGAGACACAGGAAAATGGTGATAACTCTCAAGAAAACCCTGATTCCTATTTAAAGTACTTGGATGGTGCTCAGAAATGTGGCATTCACTTTGTATTATACTCATCTCTACAACAACCCTGTGAGGTTCTGAATACATTATTCTCATCTAACAGGAACCAATAAATTAAAAGGGTAAATGATCTACTGAGGGTGACACCAGAAACTTCTGTCAAAGCTCCAAGAATTTCACATTTTGGACTACAGCATCTTTTGTTGCATCAGTTTAGATACAGCTGGTAACAATCCCATGAATAATATCAAAAGGTGAAATAAAACATCAGATGTACAGCACAGTAAAACGTATACCTGAAGAAGAAATTTAAAGATGCAATACTCCATTAATTTTATATGAAGGAACCAAGTCATCGCAGTCAGATAACATTCAGGATCTACACCGATGTGGTCAGACTTCCTTTGTCATTATGACATCCCTTCCTACTTTCTTTCTTTGTATTTGCCTGCTTAAGATTTGCAACCTCTTGAATTAAGCTATTAGACTTAAAACTGCCTATTCCAGGATTTTAACTATTTCCAATTACAACTACTCTTCTAGGTAAATTATAGAGATTAGAAATAGAACTACCTGAAAAAGTATGATTTGTTTTAGTTAATCTGTTTACAAATGCTCTTGACTAGCTCTGTAAACAGAGAAAAAATTGAAGAATCAAATATCTCACAAAATTAAGAACATGTGTTCTATAGGTGAGGCTTTGTTATTTAATCTAAATATAGAACGTTTAACCTAAAGTTAAAGCCTTGGTTTGCTATCTTCTTTGCACATATGAAAAATTCATGTTAAATTGTCTTAAAACACAATTAGTGATCAATGTCTTATTTGATAACCTCTTTGCAAAAGTATAAACTCCACACAAGGTAGAAAACAGTGAAGAGTCACTTCTTTGTATGCATGCAGATTAACACAAAGAGGCTATTTTGAGGCCACTGAAACGCTTACATGAAAGTGCTAGTGCTTATGTAGGCAGTTCAAGAGAGCAACTATGGAGTCCGCAAACCTCAACATCCCCCTATAGTCTGCTGCTCCAACTGAGTGTAGAGAGGTATAGCATACTACAGAGCATTTTTGCTTCTTGCAGTAGTACCCTGTGTTTTAGTCTAGCCCATCTCTGGAAAGAAGCTTCACTGGAAGTTCAATCAATTCCACAGCTTCAGATGTGTTTAAAACCAGCATACATGAAAAGGTGAATAAAAGGGAGCCTGACCCAAACTGACCAAAGGGGTATTCCATACCACAGCACTTCATGCCCAGTATATAAACTGGGGGAAATCACCCAGAAGGCCCAGATCGGTGCTCAGATCAGGCTGGCTATCAGTTGGCAGGTGGTGAGCAACTGTATTCTCTCTCCCTGTTATTTCCCTTATCATTATTATTGGTGGTAGCAGTAATGGTTTTGTGTTATACCTTAGTTACTGGACTGTTTTTATCTCAACCCATGGAAGTCACATTCTTTCAATTCTCTTCCTCAACCCTCTGGGAGAGGGGGTAGGGGGAAGACGGGAGGAAGTGAGCAATCAGCTGCATGGTTCTGAGTTACTGGCTGGGCTTAAACCGTGACACACTAAAAACTCCAATAACTAGCCAGGAATTTCACAGAACTCAAGTTAGGGTAATAGCATGCTTTGACTTCTGTTGCATATCAGCTCTTTCTGGACATGTATTTTGAGAAGAACAAAATAACCAGGTGGGATCTCAGGAAAAAGGGAATCACTTCCCAGTTCTGGCACATTTTAAACAAATAGTTTAATCTTCAAGTCTTAGCTTCCCAGCAGTAAAATACAGGTACCAGTTCATTTATTCTGTTCTCATTTACATAGGTTGTAAATGCTGAAGGGCAGAGGCCATCTCTTATTATGGATTTGTGTAGTGTCTAATACAATAGAGGTATGAACACAGCAGGACCTTTAAGAGCTATCTCATGTTTGAAGTACATTCAAAAATATATTGTTCCATGCTGTGTATGTCTCCCAGAGCTTATTACAGCAACAGCTAAATAAAGGATTCACAAGCACTGAGCATAATTTAGTGCCAGAAATTAAGGGGTCAAGAAAAGTATC